TTTATAGATCAAATGGCAAAAAGAAAAATTAAGCTTTTAAAACCATCCCTCAATACCCTTAAACAGTTTGGTTCATTCCGAAAAGAGTGAAAACCGAGAGTTAGAATAACCATTATCTTTTAAGTTTAAAGAGTGTCTCCTTAAATTTTTTAAAAAATTATATATACTATTCATTCATTCATTCTAGTAAAACAACATGATGATGGTGATTTTCCTCAGTTTTTTTAAATAGCTGCTTTGTGCAATAAAATCAAGTAGTCTAATAACACTCTTAGTATATTACACATTACCTTTCCCTACTTATCTGTTCCTTTTCCTATATTCTTAGTTAATGGCAGAATCATAGATCCAAAAAAAGAAGCCAAAATCCTGGGAGATTTCCTAGATGTCTCTCTCTTCTTCATATTCGGTTACTAACCAAGAGCTGCCAATTTACCTGCTATAAATGTCTTTCGGAAACATTCCTCTTCTCTGTAAGCAAACTGCCTATGCCTTAGTCAAAGCCCTCATTTCTCACATGGGCTATGATAACAGGTTCCAAACTGGTTTCTCTGCTTTCAATTGCATTCTGCTGAAGGCCCTCCTTTGAGGACAAGTCTTCTTAAAATGCCAGTGAGACCACGTCACTTCCCTTCTTAAAACAAATGCTGCCCTCCATGGTCTTTAAGATAGAGTGCAAAAATTTTTAAGATGGGTATATAGCACTGGATAGTGGTTATATATAAACTAGTGGTCCAGCTTCATCTTCTGCTACTCTAATTGTATCTTTATTCTTGTCACACCTAACAGTCGCCCAGAACAATTATGTTCCTTTTAGCACTGTCCCTTTATTCTTACAGTTCCTGAATATCTTTGCCTCCTTCATCTGCCATTTCCTATGAATCCTTCAAGATTCAGCTCAAGAATTACCTCTTCCAGGAAGCCTGCTCTCATCCCCCTCTTGCAGTCATACATCATCTCTCTTTCTATAATACCTTTTCAACAGTACTTTAAATATCATTTCCTAATTGTTTAATGAGGTCTGTCATTGT